AGAACTGTAGCAAAACCGAAAGACGTCCTTCGTTCACTTTAAATTCCAATAGCGATAACAACCTTCCATACCGGTTACAGAATCCTTCTCGATCTTGGACTAAAGATCCTAACTTCCTTAAGTCATCTAGCTTAGGCCTTTTAAAAGTATATTTCAAAGTCTTTATTCTATTGTAATCCATAATCCTGCAATATTCATAAATAAGATTTGAATTCCATGAAGTGTAATGTAATGTGATGCTTTAATGGATGCAATGCACATATATTCGCAAGTCCTAGGTTAAAGGTATGTGCAAGGAGTTAGGGTCTACCCATCCCAATAAGGTATGTACTAAGGTTAGTTGTACCTGCAGAACAAGGTTCTAAAGAAGTGCCCAAAGTCATTGGTCCATCCTTCGGATATTATCAACTTTCCGACTGACTCGGGGGTTGATAATATTCTCGAGAGAACCTCTTTTGAGTGTAGCATCGCGTAGCAACTATTGTAGGACTACTCCCACATAGTTCCCGCACTACGTCCTATATAAGGCCAAAGTGGTGTTAAGGTACTACGGTCCTCAATATCATAGACTCCAATCGAAAATAGTAAAAGTTTTCACGACTAACTCGATCAACCGAACTGTTTTCGAAAGGGTCTCAACTGAGCGGTGATTCTTGAGTCAACTTGGTCGGGACTCACTCCCGGCAAGCCTCGTCGAATATCTCACCTTCCTATAATAAGGTCACTCAAGTTCGGGTTAGGACTTATCTCACAATAACAGGGTACCCCCCGAGCAAAGCACAATAATAATATATACAAGAGAATAAATAATGAAAAGTATCATACAATAAACAAAATAGGGATAACCCTTAAAAGTTATGGTATTTCCCCGGCGAAGTCGCCATTTTCTATTGCGGTGGAAATAGGATATCAAACTATTAATTAGTTTGAATCATAATTCAATTCACAACCGCTCTTTGATTTATCCGAAGGAAAAGGTCAAAAGAGGGAAAACCTATTTTTGCATCGTAAACACAATGCGGGGAGAGATCTAGGTAAGGGGTTGGTTAAGCTTAGGGAAGGTACTAGCACCCTAAACTTCTGTAGTACTCTACAGGAACCTTTTGTTTATTGTATGCTTTTTTATTTTTATTTATTATCTGCTTTAATATATATTGAGCTAAGGGATAGAGTGACCTAAAGACCTAAGGGTTAGTCCTAAGTTTACTCGGCAAGACGTCGCATCTTGTGCCTACGTATCCTGGATAGGGAATGGAATCAGAGTAATCGTAGTTCCCCTCGAAAGGGAGGTTAGAAACGTCTTGACTATGATCAAGGTTTCAATGGGAAGTAAATGTATCTTAAGGACACACTTACGTGGAGTCTTGAGACTCCTATTTCTACGTTGGAATTATTGAATTAAAATTAGGGTTGAAATTAGGATTCCACGGCAGGAAACCCTAAACAGAGTACGGCGACTCTTTGACCTAATGCCAGGGTAAAGGGCATTTTCGTCCATGGCGGGACACCTAGGCTATTAGGGTTTTCGAAACGGTCAAAAATTAGGGTTATTGACTCGGCGGTCAAACGGCTAGACCTAATTCCTTCGGAGGGATATATAACGGTAAAACATGCAAACATGGCAAAATATTATATGGCAGAAATTAAAATGCGGAAAATAAAGAAAGCGTCGCGACGATCACTCGCGTAAATTACAAATCCCAAAAAAAAAAAAAGATAAAATAAAACCGCGACCATGGCCTCGTGTAAATTACATCCATGGAACAAAATAAATTGAACAAATAATTTAAATATAATCTGAGGAGAGAAACAGAGAACATTAGTGCAAAGGGTTAGACAGAAATTCATGGCAAATAATAAAATAGTGAAAAAGAAAAATTAAGAATTTGGACGTTTATTTAATATTATTATTATTATATTAAAAAAAAAAATTTAAAAAGAAAATTAATTTGATTTTGAAAATGTTTTGGGTTGATTTTGAAAAAGATATAGCTTTAATTTTGAAAATGTTTTTTTAGTTTTAATTTTTTTTTAAAAAATTTAGTTTTTTAAGTTAAAATTTAAAGAAACATTGTAGTTTTTATTTAAGAAATGTTTTAATCTTATTTTAAAAAAACTGTTTTGGTTTAACTTTTTTAAAAAAAACTGTTTTAAATTTTAAAAGAGTGTTTTTAGTTTAATTAGAGAAACAAATGTTTTTTATTGGATTTTATTGAAAAGTAATTGTTTTTATTAAAAAGAAATTATTTTTATATTACCAAATGTTCTTATTCTAGAAATACAAAAAAAAATATTTGCAAAAACATTATGTTTGTTACTTAATTAACAAAACATTACGTTAGTTATTTAATTAGCAAAACATTACGTTAGTTACTTGATTAACAAAACTTTACGTTAGTATCTATAAAACTCAAACCAATTAATGACAATAAAAATGGAAAAAGAAAAAAAGAAATAAGAGAAAAAAACAAAAGATATAAAAAATAGAAAAGGACAAGAAAATAAAACTGAGGCATAAACGAAAAGAGGTAGGTTTGGCATTTCATTTCAGACTTTGTCTTTCCAAAGACCCAACTTCTTCTTCTTCTTCATTGCGCCGCCATAATCTTCTCTTTTTCCTGTAAAAAAAAAAAAGAATAACAGAAACCAAATGTGATATTGATGAAATCTTACGAGTTACGAAAGAAAATAATAATTAAATAATAAAAAAAACTATTTTTGTTATTTTTTTTATGAAAATAGAAAAGTTAAAATAAAATAAAAGAAACAAAACAAAAAGTGAAGAAGGTGGGATTCGAACTCTCGACCTCTCACACTCACAACTCCTTACACAGGGTCTCTTGTCAATTGTGCTATTTTACTCATTCAAAATAAAGTGGCACTAGAAACCCTGTAAACTAAAAGAGCGCGCCACATGATATTTTCTTGCAACGATCAAACAACTGTACCACCCGTTAGTGGTTAGTTTAAACGCAATGCACAATGAAATGGGATGCAAGATGAAACGACTAATCTTAGGGCAAAATTTGGGGTATTACAGATAAATTGATACTCGCATGAACAAACATACACACAAATCATAAAAATATTTAACATTTTTCATAAGCAATTGTTATAAAAGAGGCGACTTATTCATTTCAACTGCTTACCTAAAAAATGTTAAATTAATGTATAAAAATACATTTCGTAGCCAAATTCGAACAAAATTGAACCAAAAAAAAAATTGAAATTAAATCCAAATCAAAAACACCAATGTATTTTATTCTATTATTACGACATTATATTAAGTTTAATTTCAAAATATAAAATCACATATATTATTTATAATAAATAATATAAAAAACATATAATTCTTCTAAACCAAAAAATAATAATTATAATGCAGTTATTTACAAGAAAATTGATCCTTATTTTTATCCTTATACACCGCATAGAAAGACTTGGAGAAAAAATTCAACAAAACTATGAACAGTTTCATTACGCACTAAAGATGAAATTATATCATCAGTTTTATTATCTTTAGCTACAAAAGTGTTGGTTGTTAGATAACAACTCTATAAGTGGCAAAGAGTATTCTAGTCAAAACCAACAAAAGACACTATTATAATAATAACAAAAGAGTGTAAAAGCAAAAAAGTTTCCATATAAGAGCAAATAAAATTGACTATAAATTCAACCTACATTTAATTTTAGATTCAAGATTTTGAGCACAAAAATTTTGTAAGATAAAAAAGAATCTTAATTTTAGAACCATAATAAAAAAAAACCTCATAAACACAACATATATTGATTTATACAATTGGAAGATCAAAGGATCCTAAATAATAGAAAAACAAATTGAATCAAATATTAGTGGCTCTGATACCACTTGTTAGACCCGTTCAAAACCTTATGATTTCTACTGATATAGAAATCAAGAACAAAACTATATAATAATTCCTATAAGTCGACATAGCATCAACTTGTATCCCTTAAAACCATATCTGAATACAATTATGAAAATGAAGGCGGAAGCGTACTTGAATTTGTCATTGAAATCGTTGAAGATTTCGGGTATGTGACCTTACGATTTGTAAAGTTTCTTAGGTTTCTTGAATCTCCTCTGATGGGGATGAAGATAGAAAATCTCATAAACGTTATTTTGTTCATACTCTACAAATGAAAACCATAACCCATTTAAATAATCAGAGTTATTTCTTAGTTTTCAATATTTTAATTTGTCCGCTCATCAAATTAAATATTAACTTACGGTATCTACACAATAACTTGACGTTTCATGACTATATTTTTAGCCACAAACTTAATACTATATTAATTAGATCCGTTTAAATCTTGACTAATTAAAATAATAACACTAATACTTAAGATGATATATTTGTGATTCACTTTTTATTTACTTTTAACTTAGATTGATGGCGAAGCTTAGTAAGAAGACAAATTTTGAACTGTAGATAAAAAATCAATCGTCCCACAAAAGTTTTTTCGAAAAAAATATTTTGCAAAATTGCGATTATATCATGTGTTTGATATTTTAAAAAAAATTTGAAAACAACAAAATTTTAGTTAATATACTAATTTTTAAACTTTTTAAAAATATTAAAATATAAATATAACATGTCAAAACCAAAATCCTTCCAAATTAATTTTTTATTAAATAAAAGATTAACATAAAACAATTAATTAAATGAAAGGATAAAAATCTAGTTAAGCCATTTTTTATAAGATAATGACTTATGTAGAAACATCTTGGCAAAGTGAGGAAATATCTCGATTGGGAATTTGCCGCATGCATTCTCTCCACCTGTCGCAATATGAACATGCAGTTGTTAATACAAGTACAACAGTGTCCATCACCGCTTGTAATACAGTAGTGTCACCAACCTTGTATTCACCTCTTGCACTTCACTACTGTATACTATATAAGTAATCACTTCCCCTCCAACCAAGCAAATTAACAAGACCAAAAGTAACTTGTGCTTGAGAACAATTTAATAATAATCATGAGTCAGGAGAAGCCACGGAGGCCCCAGCAAGAACCGATAAAATACGGCGATGTGTTCAACGTGTCTGGTGAGTTATCATCACAACCCGTTGCACCAAGAGATGCTGCAACTATGCAATCAGCGGAAGATAAAACATTGGGACAGACTCGAAAAGATGGTCCAGCTTCTCTCATGACTTCTGCTGCCCAAAAAAACGAGGACGCTGGTTTCATCGGTCACAACACTGCTACAAACATTGCTAGAGAGGAAGGCGTTGCTGTTTCCGAAACTTATGATTCGGGAAAACGTGTCATCACTGAGACCCTTGGTGGACAGGCAATTTTCTTTCTGACTATAAAAATAAGCTTGTTTTAGTTTGAAGTTTTTATTGCATATAATGTACTATGATAATTTTTTATGGAACAGGTCTTGGACAAGTCTGTGGAAGATACAAATGGTGCAAAAGGGACTGCGGATAGACCTAAGAAAAACAAGTGATGTATGAGTTCAAAATCAGATGTTTTTTGTTTTGTTTTATTATAGCAGTGTGAACTTTACCTTTAGTTTTGGGAAAATGTTTTGCCTTTTTAACAAAGACTGTCTGAGGTTGTGTATGAGTCTTTCGTCATGTATAATCATGCATCCAGAAGTTTAATGTATAACATGTTAGTTTTTTTTTTGTGTGTCCAAAATAATGTGTTGGTGTTAATACATTTTAGTCACATCTAAAACGCTAGAGCCAATGTAATAACAACAAAATGTTGTTGCTGCATTGCTAATGGCCTCAAATCTCATAACAGAGTATATGCACAACCAATTGCTGATGGCTTCCAATGGCATAACAGAGTATATGCACAACCAATACATCAACGCCCGGCTTAACAATTTAATAAATGTTTTATAATTCTAATTTCAATTAATTTTTTTTAGACTATACTATCCATGGCAATCATCCACCTGAACCAAAAACAATTAAAATTTAGATTAAAAAAAAAAGCTTGAAATACCAGATTTAGGCAGGTTGCCATATGTCAAAAAAAATTTTGAAAAGAATTTTTGAAAAGGTTTGAAATGAAATGATTGTGTAGATGAAGAAAAGCAGGCCTATTGTTTTGGCTAAGAGCAAGATTACTCTGACTGGTGTGGTGATAGAACAGATAAAATAAAATATGCACATATGACTATGTGTTCTTATACGAGGTTTCAAACTTCTATAAAGAAGCAAACCAATCACTACTCTATCATTATGTGAGGAGAATATATAGTAGGACCATTTGTCTCACATTAGTCTCTTGGGCTTAATTTTAAATATTTTTTTAATGTGACATTTAGGTTCCATTTTTTCATGGAGAGCGTTTTTGTGTGTTCTTGTTAGATAGTGTTTTTTCATTGAAAACGCTTTTTTTTTTTTCTTTTTAGGTCGTATTTGTTATCTAATGTATCTTTTCTTTCTATTTTAGATAGCGTTTTTTTATGAAAGTGCTTTCTTTTTGTTCTAACACTTTTAAAAACGCTTTTTTTGTTGTATTTTACACAGCGCTTTCTTTTATTTATTTTAGACAGCGAAAAATACAATGTTTTCTTTTATTTATTTTAGATAGCGATTTTTTTACAAAGCGCTTTCTCTTTTTCACGTAAATAGCGCTTGTTAAAAGTATTTTTTTAAATTATTTTTTTTATTAAAAGTGTTGGCATAAATCTTATTTTTTAATTATAAAATGGCAGCACAAATCATTAGAATTCAAATTTTTATCAAAACTTATCACAAATCTTTTATAATTTAACACAACTCTTTATTTCAACACATAAACCTTATACCTACTATAATTCAACACATAAACCTTATAACTATTATAATTCAACACAAACCTCATACACCAGAAAAACATCCATAATTCTATCCACTTTCAAAATCTTTAACTTCTAAAAGATTCACTAAACATAATTACAAACATCAATCCTCAATTCACAACAACTATCAAAACTATACAACAACATCCAAAATTATACAACATGAGTTTCAGAACTATTTCTATCCAATACAGAACATCACAACAACAAGAATATCTAAGGACCATTAACTTCACACAAAAGAAAGAAAGACAATATACTTTATACAATTCTCATCTCAAGAATGTATTGACACCATTCTTCCTTAATTTCTTTCAGTTTATCTTTCGAGTAAGTAGCACACTTGAATTCATCAAAATACTACATAATATAACATAATATGCATGTTTTAGTTAAAACTAATTAATTAGATGAAATATTCGTTAAATATTAAAATAAACCAAAACTTATAAATCCATACCATATTTGAAAACTCTATTTGATCCAAATGAATAGTTTCTTTCATAAACTTCAATATGAAATAACTGCAGTCTATAACATTTTTTTGGCCTCATAGGTTCAATTGAGAAGAATATTATCCTCCTGAAGCATATCTTTCATAAGGGCTAATAACTCTGTGAAACTTTTATCCGACCATCTATTGCCCACCTTTAAGTTGTACAACTTTAATATCATAGACAATCTTGTGAATTTAGTGCGACCTTTATACAACGGTTTCTTGGCATCGCTTACCAACCTCTCAAATATTTTGGGACAATCTTGAAGATCTTCTTTAAGTGCTTCTGTAATATCTTCGACTCGATCACAATCATATGTATCTGTGTCATTGTCGTTTGAATTATAGGTCGTATTATCCTTCGGTTCAACATTCTCGTTACTTATCTCACCATGTAATATCCAACATGTATAAATTCGATCAATTTCATGCCTTTTTAAATGTGATTCCAACTGAACTGCATCAATCTGACGCCCGTAACAACAACCTAAGCAATGACATGTGATTCGACTGGGGTCTTTGGCGTGTTCAACAGCAAACTTAACGAATTTTGATACCCCATTCTCGTACTCTTTTGACAATTGATTGAAAGACATTTATTTTTTATCCATGATTTTACTAAGTAAGCTAAACAAAAACACTAATTATTCACGCAACTATAGCAAAAGGATATCTAATTACCTGTAGAGAAGTCAGCAACTTCTGGAACCACAAAGATTCTTGGAAACGGTCAGAATTTCACTCTTCACAAGTAACCCCTATTGCAAATTCACTAAGTAAGTAAATGATGGTGTATCAAATATAACAGGACAAATTTAGTATATAATGGGACAAACAAGATATATCGGAGAAACAAGTCAAAGTCTCAAGAATCAAATTTAGTAAACATTAATACTTCCTTCAATTAGGCAACATGGCATCGATGCGCAAATTCAATCACATTAATTCAAGTATCATGGTATACTTTGATTCATCACAAATGACACATCAACACTTAATATTTCAACTCAAATAAGTCACAAAAAACAACTTCATCACTTAAGTTCAATTAACTTCAAAGTTCTATCCAACAAAAAATCATCAATTCGAGCATAAAACAATCACCAAAGTTATCAATTCCACATTTAAACTCAATAAAAACTTCAACCTCAACAATTAACAATTAATTTCATGACTATTCATCATCTTCAACGTCAACAACTAATAATTAATTTTATTATCATTTACAATCAACAATTATATCAAAACAAAGTAATCACTAACAATTATTCATCAAATTTGTCATTATCATCAATTAATTTCAATAATTCATCACTAACATTCAATATCAACTTATAAAATTAACACCAATGTTCTCAAAATAAATTCACCACAAATATCACTATTCATCATCTTCAACCTTACTACAACAACAATTTCAAAATCAAATTCTCACAACAACCACATCAACACTATCAATGTCTCATTTCAATTGTTTCAATAACAAACAAACTCATCAATTACTTCCAACAATTTATATAATTCACCAACAATGTCATTCAAATCTTCAATTGAATTCAAATAACAACAGCATCACAATCTATTATATGGCTTGCGAATCCAAAAAAGGAAAAGAAGAAATACCTTGCTAAAAAAGGAGTTCCGAAACGAAATAGTGTGATTTACGGCGGAGGGAGTTGCGAAGAGAGGGAGATACGGTCGGCGGAGGGAGTTACGAAACAAGGGAGTTACGGCGGAGGGGGTGGAGACTGAAGAGAGGGAGTAGCCTTACGTGAGGGAGTAGAAACGAGAGAAATAGAGTATCAAAATTGTTTTTCAGAAAGTTAGGGTTTTAGAGTATTAACGTTTCTATTTTTATTTTTCAGAAATTAACAACCTAAAGAATCACTTTCTTATGTATTCAATTTAACAGTGCTTTTTTATTAAAAGTGCTTCCTTTTCATAGGTTTATAGTAGTGCTTTTTATGGTTGAGTTTATGAATGACTTTTAGCAGCGTTTTCCAAAAGCGCTTTCTAAAGTATAGTAAGGCCTTTAGCAGCGCTTTCTAAAAATAGGCTTTAGCAGCGTTTTTTTCCTAAAAAAACTTATAGCAGTCTATGTAGTGCTGCCAAAAGTCAATTTTGACGTAGTGTTATTATTCAAGAAACTTCAATGTGAAGTAGAAAAGCTAGTGAAGCTAATGATCTACAACAAATTTGCAAAAAGCTTAAAGAATCAAGTGTCACGTGGAAGAAACAAACACATTAAAACTTGATTTCATTGAAACTTGATTTTATTTCATATGAGAACAAATAATGAAATGCATGATAGAGATCAGTGTATTGTTCTACAAAGGAGCAAAGATAGTTTCACAAAAACCTTAAAGATTGACAAGTTGGCATACTTAAGAGATAAATTGGGAATGGTATGTATCTAAAATGATGGGAGAATGTTGTAATAATTTTAAAAGATAGAATACAGTTTGTAAAGGTTGAGACATTAGCTTTGACTAACTAACTAGTTAATTATTGTCAGCTAGAGAAGTGGTTAAGTTAGTTACTAAACTCGCAAGTCAATATATAGCCCAATGTGTACATGATTAATTCTACCATTCCATTTTGCTTCTGAATTATCTCTTTAATTCTCTTATGTTTCTGTCTTATTTGCACTACAGCAACTAATAAAGCTGCACCAGTAAATAAGAGATTAACATGAAACAACTAATTAAACTAAATGACTAGAAATCTAATTAAGTTATTGTTTTATAAACATAATACCTTCGGTAGAAACATCTTGACATGAGATAAAAACACGGTGATTGAGAACTTGCCATGTATTCTCTCCACCTGTCGCTATATGAACAGGCGGTTGTTGTTCAACAAATACAAGTACTTCACCGCTTTGCAATAAAGAATTGTCACCAACCTTCTTAATTCACCTCTTCCACTTGACTATATAAATATCACTTCACCTTTAACCAACCAAAATTAACAAGACCAAAAATAAGAACAAAAATTACCTGTGTTTAAGAACAATTTAATAATATCGTCATGAGTCAAGAGAAGCCACGGAGGCCCGAGCAAGAACCGATCAAATACGGCGACGTGTTCAACTTGTCTGGCGAGATATCATCACAACCGATTGCACCAAGAGATGCTGCAGCCATGCAATCAGCGGAGGACAAAATATTGGGACAAACTCGAAAAGATGGTGCTGCTTCTCTCATGACTTCTGCGGCGCAGAAGAACGAGGATGCTGGTCTCATCGGCCATAACACTGCTACAAACATTGGTAGAAACGAAGGCGTTGCTGTTTCAGAAACTTGTGATTCGGGAAAACGCGTCATCACTGAGACCCTTGGTGGACAGGTCCTGGGGAAGTTTGTTTTATTTTGAAGTTTTTATTACATGTATATGTACTATAATAATTTATTGATGGATCAGGTTTTGGGGAAGTTTGCGGAAGATACAAATGGTGCAAAAGAGACTCCCTTTGAAGACGAAGGTGATCCTAATCCTCTCTCAGATCAAGCTCCTAAAGTTGAAGCAACAATGGACAGGGATTTCATAAGTAACCAAGGTGGTGGTGTTATGAATCCTCGGTTGCATGGGAACCCAGACGAGAATGAGAATGCATGGTCCAATGATTCAATGGTAAGAAGCTTATGCTACAACTACATAATCTTAATTAAGTCTTATTGAGAAGTTGAGAGCTAAGTTATGGATAGAAATTCCAAGTGCAGGACAAGGGTGTATGGAATGAAAATCCTGAGATTATAAATAGTGTACCTGGTGGCATGGGTGCATCCATGGCGACTGCAACTGCAACTGCGGACCGACTTAAGAAAAACAAGTGATGTGCACTTTTGAGTTCAAAATCAGATGTCTTGTTTTGTTTTGTTTTATAACAGTGTGAATTTTAACTTTTAGTTTCGGTATAAAATGTTTTACTTTTTGATCAAGACTTTTTCTGGTTGTGTGTTATCACTCAAACTTAATGGTGTTAGTCTTTTGTCATGTATAATTATCCAAAAGCTTACTGTATAACATGTGTATTTTTGTGTGACCAAGATAATATGTTGGTGTTAATATATGTTTTTTTTAATAATCAAGAATATTGATAATGCATACCAATCCATTTACAAGTATATAACACTCCCAAAACATATACAAAACACTCCTATTTTAAAAAATTAAGAGAAGATTTATACTATTCATAGAAGAACTTGGATTATACTCCAATCAAGACTAAATTTACTTTGATTATACTCCAATCAAGACTAAGAAATTTGCATAATCTTTTCAAAAATATCTTTTGTTTTTTAATATCTTTTATTTTTTAATTAAACCATTAAAAATAATTTGATTTAGAGTCTATCAAATAGACCAACACGTCCTGATTCAAATAAAACAAACAGTAAATTTGAAAGTTTTTCTTAACTTTCATGAACCATTCTAAATAATACTTACTTATATTTTCTCCTCAACAACGTTAAAAGGCCGTCAGAATAACTTTTGTATTCCAAACAAGTATCCACCCAAAAACTAGTTAAAAGGCCGTCAGATTAACTTTTGTTGGAAGTCTATTCCAAACAAGTATCCACCCAAAAACTCGAGCTTTTAGTGGAATCTTTGTTTGCCATAAAACATCTTAAACAGTCTTGAGAATAATGTCTAATTCGAATAAACCACAATGAAGCACGAAAGTATTGTAGCAATCATTAAGAGTAAAGAAACTATTATTACCAAATATAATATCTAAAAGTTTATTGTATAAATAATTAAGAATATATTTGTTGTAAATGTGTCTTAAAACCTTTGTTGATGAAGAGAAAGAAAATATATTTTGGAGATTGCATTTACCACGAAAATCGGACGAAAAGTCGGGAAAAGAAATCGGCCGGTGAATAGTGATATGTGTACGGATGAATAGTGTATCCGTACGATGAATAATGTTTTCAAGTTTTCGGGCTTTTTCGATTCAGTCCATGGATCCATGTGATTTAGGGTTTTGTTTGTTGGATATTTGTTATTATAAATATGTATCTCTTATATGTTTGGTGTGTGACAATCTTAGAGTTTTCACCAACAAGAGAAAGTAAGGGTTTAAAGGCATGGCATAAGGTTTCAGTTATTCACATGAAATTGTTTAAGGTTATTGTGAAACACTGTTACACCTTGGGTTTGAATGATTCATATATTGAGAGTTGGAGAGGTAGGGAGACACTTGGGTAGAAAATAGGGTTGTTCTTGGGAACTTAAAGGTGAAGGCTATTTTCTTGTAACTTATTTGTAAAGTCTTGTAACAACTTTCTGAGTATAGTGAATTGGAGAGCTGTTGGTGATTTTAGTATCATCAATGTATTTTAGTAGTAATGTGATTTATTGTAGGTCAATGCAATTATGTGTTAAGCTTGGAAACGAGTTAGGGTAGTGCGGAGTGCTGTTAGCTCCCAAATTCGACGCCTCATGTAGAAGGAAGGAATTCAAGATAAAAGGGCCACAGGCGGGTTGAGAACGAGATAGTGGTCGAAAGAGGCAAAGCAGCCAAGAGAAGAAGTCAAAGAACTCACCCAGAAGTCAGGAGTTCGACCATTGGCTGTTGTGGATGATTCGTCGAAGGATTTGAAATTTAAAAATTGGAGGGAACGGTTTTGCTTATTGAATATTGAAGGAGACACGTGTCACCTTATGAGCAGTAGATCCATGCATTTGTGACAAGTGGCGAAAGGAGGTGATGATGGAGGTTATTAGAAGTTATTTTTTACTACTATAAATAGGGTGTCTTAGACATATCCAAAGTGTGTTGTAATTTACTATTGTACAAGTTACTCTTAAAATTACTCCAAGTATCCGAGTGTAGAGAATGCGAGTATTATAGAAAATGTACGTGATGTAAACACACCATCTTTTAACTTAATGCAATTTACTTTATTTTGCTTTAAAACTTTACAAAGTCTTTTATTATCTTTGCACCTTTCTTCCCTACTTTATTTCTTGTTCTTCTTCTTCCCATGCAATTCTTTTCTCTTCGTCCTCAATCTAACTTCACCTCTCTAAACAAACTTTCTTCTCTCTTTTATTGAAAGCTTTATTTTACCTTTAAATCATCCCGTAGTCGAATAGATGTTCTTTAAGCTTCTTTCACCCCAGTACCGTTCGAGTGTGGAACTTGAATAGACTCTTAAAATGAAAAAGCCTTTTAGCACATGTTCTAGGATCAATCTGATCGATCCTGTGAGTCACCAAAGTTAGATTTGGAAGATCAGCGGTTGTTTTCCGATTTTCAAGGGAAACAAAATGGCACGCCCAGTGGGACAGTGCTAGAAAGTCTTTTCATAAAACTAAACTTATAAAAAATTTGTAGTCGTACTGGTATTTTTCGTGAGAAGTACATTTTATGTTACTAAGAAGTGGTAAAATTGTCGTTGTAAACGAAGAGACACGACCAAAATGAAGCATTAGGAGCATGGCTACGGATACGAACCATCCAGATAACCCCAACCATCAAGGAGACAGTTCCAGTGAGGGAATAAGAGACGAAGGAGTTCCCCCTCTGATACCGTCGACTGGAGAACAAATGGTGCTTCCTGTGAGGCCAGTACCGACACCCTCCGTACTTGGGGCTGGATCGACAGTGATAAGACCTTACACTCAACCAGTGTTGGAATATATTGGTCATCAAACGCCGAATCCTCAGATTTTGTTAGGAGGGAGTTCGACTTCCAGGCAGTTTGGTCCCCCTGGTTTCTCACAGTCACCAAGAAATCCCCCATATGGGATGCCCACCGCTATGATGCAGGGGCTCCAAAGTGCACCTCCCATATTCTCAGATCAGGCGATGGCTTCGCCGTTACAAGGGTCAGGGTCAGGCGTGAACATGGGTTGAAACCCCCAAAGCCAGAGTTTAGGGTATTCGATGCAAGGCCCCAATTTGACCAATACCTCAGTTGCTTGTTTAAGACAGCAGATGGACGAAAGTAACCTACAAATGGTTCAAACTTTGTCACAAACCATGGGTAAAATCTTTCAACCATTAATCCAAAATACAAATCAGACCAATCAACAATTGGCGGTGCAACTAACAAGATTGGCTGAATTCATGGGGGTACCCCCCTTAGCCAGAAACCAAGCTGCAGTAGCAGATATCCCACGAGAAAACTTGGCGAATATGGCAGAAGTCGACGTAGGAAACCAAGGAAGGATGGCCCCTCCGTTAGTCGAAGGGCTTAGGGAAAAGCCTTTGCAAAATCAGCCCCGTGGCTTGGGAGAAAGAAACCTAGGAGTGGTGGTTGTGAATCGGAACCAAGACGCAGACAATGTAGTCCAGCAGGTTCGACGAAACAACGTGGTCGTCGACAATAATCTAGCGGCCATGGTCGAGAGAATTATGGCCAGAAATGGGTTAAACACTGGTTTCACCATGCCAAATTACACTTCACCTATAGTAGACTATATCCTTTAGGCGAAGTTACCTCCTAGGACGAAAGCACCCAAATTCACTAAGTTTTCAGGAGATACGACAAAATCTGTCGTCGAACATGTGGCTCGTTACCTAATCGAGGCTGGAGAGATAGCGAATGATGAAATCCTTAGAATAAAATACTTCCCAAGTTCTCTTACTAAGAATTCCTTTACCTGGTTCATAACGCTTCCCCCTAACACGGTGTGTAATTGGATCCAGTTAGAGCGTTTGTTCCATGAACAGTTCTATACGGGTCAGACTAAAATTATCTTAAAGGAACTCGCTAGTGTGAAGCGTAATTTTTCTGAGCCAGTAGAGGAATACCTTAATAGGTTCCGGTTTCTTAAAGTCAGATGCTTCACACAGGTCCCTGAACATGAGTTGGTCGAAATGGCCGCTGGGGGTCTCGACTACTCTATTAGGAAAAAGTTGGATACCCAGTATCTAAGGGACATGGCCCAACTAGCCGATCGAGTTCGGCAACTAGAAAGACTCAAAGACGAGCATAAGCCTGAAGAAGCTTAATCTGGCCAAAGAAGTTGAAATTAACATGGTAGAAATCACCCAACATAAGGATGTAGCGGACAGTGAGTCGAATTACCAAGAAACACACACTAGGGAAGCATACCCAGAGCAGGAGGAATCTATCGTTTCTTTCCTTCACCGCTGCCAGGAGAGAGGTTCTAGTGTGATGCTTTGTCCCAAATGCAGCGCCATATTTGACAAGAAGGCCGCACAAAAGCTAGAAGGAACACAAAGGCTGAGGCAAGATAACGAAAGGCCAAGATTCGACCCTCGAAGAGGCCTTCAACAAAGATCTGACCCCCGCATGAGGCCTCCTACGAACAAACCCACTAGCTTTAAGCCCAATGTTGGGGCCACTAATGGGAGGTGGACGAAGCCCAATGAGGATAGGCAGCAAGGGAAAAAGAGGTGGAAGAACTTCGAAGTGCAACGAGGATCATCGTTAAGCTATCGAAAAGAATTTCAGTCTTCGAGGGATGCTCATGTGTTAGAAAATTATAAAGGGAAAAATCCCATGACTCGATCCCAATGGAGACGTGAGCAGAGAAAAAGAAAAGCACACAGAGAAGGCGCACAAAAGGACCAACCACAATCCAGTACCAACATCCCCGTCGAACATGAGGGTCGAACAAAGATGTTCGGGAAGGTACCTGTAGGAAGAAAGTTGTTTCCAACGCAGGTCGAAGAACAGAGGAAATCGATCGATGACGAAATGACCGATAATTTTGATGAAGACTCTGATGATACGTTGTATATTTTGGTCAATGTAGTATCAGTAGTGCCCAGGGAATTTGACAGGATTTTTGTGGTTGAAAACTCGGACACGTATACGGACTGGGAAATAACGGCTCATAAGCCGGTATGCTA